TGCTAGAACTACTGTAATCCTATACAAAACGCGAAGATGGTGATGGTAAAATAACTAAAGTAAGGTAAAAGTAAAACAAAACAAACAAAAGGGGTCCTAATATCTACATCACTTTTTATTTACCACAAAATATAAAGAAAAAAAAAAAAAAAAAAAACTCATCATATATATATACTGCAGATATTTTTTATCAAATAAATGCAGTCTAGGTAAGCATAAGAGACTTTAAAAAAACATGAAAAAATCTTAATCCAAACATTTGTCCACTAGTGTACATTATTTTATTAAAAAAATTAAAATATATATATATATATAAAAAAAAACTGTTAGATTTACAATGGCAATAACTGAATGGAAACACTTCTGTGAAAGTGGTGGATGTGTTGTATATGTGTGTGGTGTGTACGAGTCACGTCTTGCTTGTGTTTCCCGTGTTTCAGGGAATGGGCTATCTTCATGCTAAGGGCATCGTTCACAAGGACCTTAAATCGAAAAACGTCTTTCACGACACAAACAAAGTAGTCATTACTGACTTTGGCCTTTTCGGGATCTCTGGAGTGGTTCAGGAGGGCCGGTACGTCACTGCATTACTCTTGACAATATGGATTGTTACCGTAAATCAATGCTTTAAAGGGTCTGTTGTGTTTTTAGACGCGAAAACGAGCTGAAGCTTCCTCACGGGTGGATCTGTTATTTGGCTTCAGAAATCGTGCGTAAAATGAGTCCCGGAAACAACGAGGACAGACTTCCGTTTTCTAATGCTGCTGATGTTTATGCCTTTGGGTGAGAAATATACTTGACTTCAGACATAATTCACCCCCAAATAGTGCTGCGTTGACCTGCCGCCTTTATCTGCTCTCTTTCAGCACCATCTGGTACGAGCTGCAGGCGAGAGACTGGCCCATCACCAGTCAGCCCGTAGAGGCCACCATCTGGCAGGTGGGCAGTGGAGAGGGCATCAGGAGGGTCCTGGCAGAGATCAACTTGGGAAAAGAGGTCACGGTGAGAGCCACATTTTAAGTCGATTTATTATTGGACACATGCTCAGTGGAATGGCAGTGAAACTATGCTACTCCACTCCACTTCCCATGCCAAGACCGTCTGGGTGAAAATTAGGTCATGTGACAGCTAGACCATATTGGACATTTTTTATAATAATAATAATAATACTTTTACGTATTGTTAAGTATCAATAATTAATTATTATTGTTAATTATTAATATTATTTGTTTATTTATTCTGTGCTTTTCCATAGCTCAAGTACACTTGATCAGTCAGATTAATAAATATAATTAAATTAATGCAGTGAAAAAATAACTGCCAATACAAATTAAAGAATAGTATCATTTAGAAATAACAGAAATATAGAGACATAGCATAAAAATAGATCAAAATGAATTATCATTAAAGTGTCATAGTTTAATGTAATTGTATATCTTGCTAACTATTTGTAAATAATGTGAAAATAAACTTGAATGAATTTCTAAGTCTAAATTCTTTTCATTTAATTTCATAGTTTAGTACTGTAGAAGTTGTGTTTAAGAGACGCACAAAACACTGTAAAGTGCTACCTTATAATTGGACCAAAATGAGGTATCTCCGATGTTATCCTTGTAAAAACCATCCAGAGGTCAGCTGTTTGTGCTGACTGCTTGATTCCTGTCTGTCCCACAGGAGATTCTGTCTGCCTGCTGGTCATATGATGCTCGTAATCGGCCCACGTTCACGCAGCTGGCCGACATGCTGGAGAAACTGCCCAAACTCAACCGCCGCCTGTCTCATCCTGGCCACTTCTGGAAGTCTGCAGAGTATGTATCCTAGAATCTGGCACACTGTGAAAAGAGGACAAACAGGTGGTAGAAACCTGCACAGTCTGCAGAAACGACGACAAAGATGACCTCAGAGACACCTCAGTGAATCAAATGTGTTGTTTGTTCGGTTACTTTCTGTCTGACCTTCTCTTCACTTAGAGTATTTTTGTCTTGTTCAGTCATTATTTTTATCAGCAGCATCTGTCTAACATTCAGAAGAGCAGTATCAGCACTTGTTACAGCATAGGGAAACTTTTAAATTGGAAAAATAATCCCATAATCACAACAATTTAATAGCAATATAAATTATGTAAAATAAATAATATACATACACACACACACACACACACACACACACACATATATATATA